GGATGAGGATAAATGGTCGACTGGTTTTTGCATATGCAGCTTAAAATGGTTTCTAATTCATACACTTGAAGGGAGATCTCATCCTTGTTTTTTCCACTTTTTGAACCACTTTATAAGGTGGCTGATCGAAAGCTTATGAAGGAATTCTGCCTTTGAGTTCTAGAATATCAAAATAGAACCAGTAATTTACATGTTTGCCTAAATCCGAAGTTCATTCAAAGAAAAGGCTCACACAAGAAAAAGATGTTGTATTTTTTCGACTACTAGTCCTGTAAAAACGCACTAAACTTCGTTACATAATTTTTTTCTTCTTATGCTAAAGGTAGCTTCCTTGCCGAGAAATACCTAGGTGATAGTTTCTTTGAGCACTGAATAGGCTAGAAGTTGAACCATCATTGATGGGATAAAAAAATAATATATTGAACACGTCAACGTGGTTTTTTGCAGGAAAAAGGCAAAAAATCTTGTCCATTCATATTTTGCACTTGTTTGCTTGTTGAAATTTTTTGTCATAAAATGACTTTCTCGAAAATTCTGGCACACTTTCCTCCACAACATCGAGTCACTTGTGATTTCACATACATAAAATAAATAAAATTGTGGGGGTAAGGCTAAAAGCTTAACACTTACTCTGCTGTATTGTACCTTACTCCTTCATAATGTTGTGACAATTTCATACTCAAACTTTTTACACATGGTTTTGAAGATACACTCACTCATTACCAACATAATATTTGGCTTTATTATAGTTTACAACATAGGTTGTGAAGTCTATAAAATAAAAAAATTCAAACCTGAAATCGGCGCATATCTCGAGGATTCCCGGCATTCTTCAGACAGTTCTGGTTACACTTCAGAAAAAATTTGAGGAAGTATCTGAAATTGGAGGTAATTCGTATAAGACAGATCGGAGAACATCGCTTAGTGCTTCCGATAATCAACTTGAAATAAGGTTAGTCATTGAATCCGATGTAATTTCTAGAGGGTCGGGCTTTGAAAGGTTGCAATGATACAAGCCCTCCATTACGTCATTATTTCTCATCTCCGTGCCTAATTCGATATCCGACTCGCGTAATTGTTTGTTGCTTCGCCTGAGAAGAGCACGAAGATGCAAAGACCTTATGGCATTGGAGAGCGTTATTAGACTTATAGAGAGTTTACTTCAGTCAAGGATTGCAAAAGTTGAGGGACAGCATTCACTTTTCATATTCTTTTTAAGAAACGATCCTTCCCATAGTATCTACTCAGAAGGCCAGAGGGTAGGGATGGGACTGTCAACAATAGCCGTAGGACTATGACAAGTATTCCAAAATACAAAACAAACACAGATTTTACTTTCAAGGATGCACAGAGCCGTCTCGATGTAACGCAAGGAAATCAGCCAAATGAGGTACGTCATTTATGACATTTTTATAGCCGACAACGCGGCTTTAATTAGATAATGTGTGTCCTAACACTAGGATCAATAGAGATATGGATCGAAATGGTAATTGAACAGTAATTGTGTGTCTCACGCCTCCTATGCTAGCTGATATTATTGAGAAGGTAAACGAAAACTCACTTGTCAATAATTATGGGGTCACTGGGTGTTTCATTGCGATTCCCACAGCTTTTCTTCTCACAACACCGACTATGAATATAAAATGTTAGAAGATTTTATTGGAATGTAAAAATTATGATGTGTACCTGCACATCACTTCATGCGTCAACAATACTCGGCACATTTCCGGATTTTTATCCTGACCCTCATACGCGATCGCCTAAAACGAAGAAGTATGTGTATATCGAAAGATTTTGCGTAAGAAAGTTGGTCAATATAGACAGTGATGTTTTCCCATATTCCTCATTGTTTCAAGTTTTGCATTATTTCTCGAACACAGTAGTAGTGAAGCCTAATGAACCTTTTCTAACTCAGAGGTACACCATCAAACAGTTGATGACCTTTCAATGTTGTAAACCTATGGAACATCGGCTTCCTGGCAAAGTTCCAATAATCTCCGTATTATGGATATCTTTCT